TACTGCTGTCTGGGCATAGGGACAGTTTTAGCCAATATGACAAAAAAGTGAATTTTAAAAACTTACAGACTTCAGCTTTAATAAATATGAAAATAATACTAATATGAATGAACTAAAAATCACAGTGTAGGTGGAGGAGAAAATAGGACAGCAACAAAAATTACATCAATGCTAAACAATTTATCCTTGCATATACATGCTGTGTAAGAAATGTATGGCTCCTTCTGTGACAGACTGCTGCACCTCAGGTGCAAATAGGATCACCATTGCAATGCCACTGCAGCTGTTAGAACAAAAACTGTTTCATCATGAGAAAAAGGTTATGTACGCCAAGTGCCCTTTTGTGACAGTATCAAAGAACTCTCATAATGACAGTATGCTCAATTAATAAAACAAAAATAAATAAGGCCGGACTGAGCCTGATGCTCTAAAATGCCTCGTGGTAAAACAGCAGCTCGTTGTGAACAGGGAGAACATGCCTGTTATTGTTTTATCTAAAGCTCTGACCCACATGCAGAAGACCAAACAGATAGACCAGGGACAAGTTTAACAGGTTTTATTGACAGTAGGTTGAGAGGAGTCCAGTGCTGCTCTGAACACTGTCGAACCGGGACTGAAAAGTGAAGGGGAAGATTCTGCGGTTAGTTCAGGCTCAGTGGGAAATTTGTGTCTTCGATTTGAAGAAGGGAATAAAGGCAATGGACTCACGTTTCCAGAAAAAGGTGTCTCTTGTTGAATCCAGTCGGTGTGAGTTGTTCCAGTGAATGACTTGCTCGTTGGAGGGCGGACAGGGTTTACCCAGATTGCGGTTTTTCCTTGAGGAATGGAGGAGCTGACTGCCACTTAGTTTTCCTGTGGAACTTGAGTGGTTTCTTGTGGAGATGAATCCCCTGCTCAGAGAGATGCCCAAACAATCCTTGGGGGAAAAGTAGATCCAAACCACTAGCTTGAATCCTCAGCTAAGTTTGATGCTCAGAGAATCCTTCCAGGGGGGAGAAGGTCCAAAACATCCAGTTTGCAGGATGACTTCCTGCGGAGAGGCAAAGACAAAAAAGCAAGGTTAAAACTCAGGTAGACGAAAACTCAGTTTGAGGAAAGCTCAGCTTGGCTAGAGTACCCAAAACTGGCAAACACTCTGGCGTCGAAGTAGTGGCAGTCAGCAGCTTAAGTGTCTCTGGTAATGAGGTAACCATCCGCAGGTGTGTGAGGAGGCCAATGAAAACCAGGTGCCTGGTAGTGGAGGGAAGACAAACAAAAGCACAACCCACATAAACTGGATTCCTAACAATGCCAACTCCATGCAGAAAGACCCCAGACTGGGAATCAAACCCAGAACATTCTTGCTGCAAGGTAACACCGTGCAGCTGCAACCAGAGTGTATAAACTTAAAAAAAAAAGCAAATAACATGGATATGTCCCTTAAATCACCATCACTTTTATAAAAACCAATAGGTGTTTACATCCATGCTGGTATTTCAAAAGTTTTTATCTGATAAATACCTTGTTTACAAATGTTTTATTATTATACATCTCTCTTTGTGGGGTTCTAATCTCCCAAAAATGTTGCACAGTTAATTTAAGTATGGCATTTTGATAGACGCACAGCATTTATTATGAGATTCATTTTGTTCCTTTACTGTGCAGCCCATTAAAACTTTTTCGATTCTTATTCTGTTTTTTTTTTTCCTTTTGTACTCTGGTAAATGGTTATGTCTAAAGTAACAAGTAATTTGATAGATAGTCAAGCAGTGATGTCTAGCCAGTAATAAAACATAGTTATTAGTCGGAGAGAAAGTATTGTGAAACTGCACTGAAAAATAGCTGTTTCTGTAGATTAAACTATAATATACTGATATCCTTCATGTCAACACTGACGTGAGGAGAGCTGTTGAAGAAGGTATATATTGAAAGTGAAAATAGCAAGATGACCAAACATGCTAAAATTGTTTGAATGAATATTCAATCTGCATTTTATCAAAACTCTCGCTTAACTATGGCCAAGAAAAGTTATTCTGAAGATTCCTGTTTGTGTTGCATACGGAAACTGGGGAGCTAATTATCTTAATTAAGCTGTTCATCTTGTACTTGTAGCCATACCTTTTGCTCTTCATAACAGCTGATTGTTTCTTCTGATGCAGCTCGACCTCTCAGGAAAGTCACCATTTTTGACTGATTCTCAGCCATTATGGATCTGGAGAGAAAAATAAATAGCCATACTTTGAGATGTATTTTATTTATTTCTGAAGATGCTGCTAAAGTGGGAAGGTCTTTTTACTGGATGTTCAGGTTTTGTAATTCCTAGTTTCACTGATTAAAACAATATGGAGTTGCTGTGTAGAACAATGTACCTTCCCAAAATGCATTAGTAACAATGGTGACTTAAGCTGTGACATTATCAATATAGACTGTTCCATCAAAATGGATATATGTAGTATGTAAACAATGCGGCACTTTCAGTAGGCTTATACTATACATATTAACCTACTCCCAATATAGACTACATACTGATTAAAAACAACTTTTGTACGATATACATGTTATATGACCTTTATAATGTATGGCTAATAGAGGTCCAATTAATATATTTAATTTGATTTATAACTATTCCTTTTTTGTTTCCCAGTGTTGGAATAATCTTTTGACACTTAGCAGTTGCCATGTCACTTTAGGTGCACGCTGTCATCAAATATATAACTTGAGGTGTGGCACATAAAATATAGATTTTTATTAACTATTGTACTATGAACATGCAACAAGCTTAGCTATCAACTGAAGACAGGTTTAATTCGGTCTATCTTTAGCTTTTCTGTATTTCCTTTTTCGTCTGAATGACTCTGGTGTTCCCCTGCCTAGGGAAAAGAGAGATGATGACTGGTAGCGGTCTAATTCTAATGGGTTCTGAAAGATGGTAACGTTAATGCTAGTTTGAACAAAGTAACGTTAATGTAATGCAACAAGAGTGGCAAGCAAACGTAATCTTAAGTATGCAGCTATGAGTGATGGAGTGGATCATTTGGACAAGCAACAACAACAATTGTAGACCATATAATCCCTCACATAGGCTAAACGCTAAATGTTGTATGACTTTGCAAGAGTTAATAAAGCTGGAAGCATGTTGCATCAAATACCGCAACCAACCTGTAAGCCTAGTAGCTAAACCCACCTAAAATTGCAAAATATTAACAGCAAATTTTTTAATACTTTAGCTTACCTATTAGTTGGGCAGTGTCTCAGACAAAATTGCCTTAAGTTGTTGTTTTATGTGGTGCTGGTCGGCTGTGATGTTCTAATTGGTGGATGCTCGAAGCTTTCTATCTGAAACGGGTTGTGGACTTTATTCTCTTAACTTTACGAATTTATTCCTCTAATTTAACAAATTAATTCTCGCAATTTTATGGATTAATTCTTGTAATACAAATAAATACAATTATTATAGCCTGGCCCTAATACTCCATCGTATATAGTTAGAGTCTGAGACTGTGACTGGCTGGATGTGCTCTCTTCATCCTCTGACATGGGAGCTGGCTCCGAGCTTGTCTGCCTGGCTGTGTGTTTCCTGGACGGGGCCGCCTTTTACAGCTGCTTTTTGTATCTCTGCTTCTGTCTCCTTGAATCCTAGTTGGCCTCGGCAGATGGACGCTCACACTGAGCCTGGTTCTGCTGGAGGTTTATTCCTGTTAAAAGGGAGTTTTTCCTCTCCACAGTCACGACAAGCATGCTTAGTGTGAGGGATTGCATATGAGTCAATGAGTCGATGCAATTGACTGGTTTTCCTTAGATAGAAAACTTTGAATCAATTTGACTGTATGATCTGGTTGAACTGTAAAGTGCCTTGAGATGACTTGTGTTGTGAATTAGCGCTATAGAAATAAACTGAATTAAATTGATTTGAATGTCACTTTAGACATTGCTTATCAAATTACTCCTTAAAATTTATTTTACTCCATGTCCTGTGTTTTTAGTGGCCTATTAAACCCTGTTAGTTTGAATGTTCCTGCTTTAACTGTTTTCTCTGAGTATGTTCTCATAGCCTTTTAACCGCAATTGTTCCAAAAAGTAATTTTAAAGGTTTTCACACAGTCCAGAGAAAATCTCAACAATCCACCACAGATTAAAATGAGAATAAAGAACTTAAGACTCTTTAAAGGTTGTTTTAAAGCTGAAGTCTGTAAGTTTTTAAAAATCACTTTTTTGTCATATTGGCTAAAACTGTCCCTATGCCCAGACAGCAGTACATGTGATATGTAACCTGTGAAAAAAACTGCTTCAATTGGTCCCGCCTACTGACTGTATTGCAATCTGGAAAGAATATTCCGGGACGAGACAAAACAACCAATCACAGCCAGAGGAGCGTCTGATGGAGTATCAATCACAGCTCACACACGCTGAATCCCGCCACCTCCCTCTAACCGCTGAACCTGCCGCTGCCGCCCGACTGCTGCAGTCAGGAGGACGTGCGTGGAAGTCATGGCGGAGCGAAAGCCACCAGCGAAAGAGAAACTGCCCTTTCTGCCCCTGCCGACAACTGCTTACATGGCAAAGACTTCAAAAAAGAAGATGTCAATGGAAGAGCTGCCGCGTACGCTGCTTGGACGCTTCTGGCCGCATGCGGTAGCCGCGCAGATGCTGTGAGAGGGGTGGAGCTTGGAGGTGGGGCATGAGTGAAGCAGAGAGGATAGGGGGAGTGGCGTGAAACCTGTTTTTTTCTTAAATTTTCAGTCGAAGTCTGCTCTCTTCTCAGTGTAACAGACTGCAGCTCTAAACTTCATATGTTCAATAAATAAGCAGATGATGTAGGTTTTACTTATCCGATTTGCTTAAAAAGCTCAAAACTATTAAAACTAAACAGATTTAGGGTAAATTATTGTCTGTTTAATCCCTGCACAATCTTGCTCTATGAGTAAAGAGTAAGCAAGTAAGTGTGGAAATAGAGGGGGGTAAGCGATGCCATAGCCACATAGCCATCCCCAGCCAATAATTGACTAGACCTGTGTAGATCCTGGATGGAGGGATGATCAGCATGATCCTCACTGCAAACCTCATTATTCATTACAGTTTGGACCGGTCCTGTTTGTAGATAAGAACCAAACCACAGAGATGGATGAGCATAAAACAGACTGAAGGATGGAGGTATAGAAAATTATCAGCTGCTGCTGTTGAAGGTTGAGCTTCCTGAGTTTCTACAGGAAATACAGTCTGAGATTCACTAAAATATTAGATTTAAAGGACAAACATCACATTTGATCACTTTGTTAAAATGTTTACTCTGATTTTATTATTAAAGATGTTCAAAAATAAAATCCATATTAATCCTTTTGACCTGTTGTTTCTGTGCTCAGCCTAAATCCTGTGTTGTTTTCCAGATCCTCATCCAGCAGTGTCTCTCTCAGTGAGTCCTGACAGAGTTCAACACTTCAACTCTGACTCTGTGTCTCTGAGCTGTGAGGGAAACTCTATTGAATGGAGAGTGAAGTGGATTAGAGAAACAGGTTCACTGTATGACTGCTCCTACATGGGGAACATGAACAGATCTACATGTAGCATCAATATGGACTGGTATCATAGTGGAGTGTACTGGTGTGAGTCTGGATCAGGACACTTCAGCAACGCCGTCAACATCACTGTAAAGAGTAGGTTATGATTTATTATGTTTTTCTTTTTCCTTATTTTCAACATCAAAATATTTCAGTATACTTAATGATTAATATGTACTGTAACCTCTAACTTGAATATTTGCGCCTTGATAAATTATTCTCCTTAAATCCTCACATCTATATAATTCTATCATCAAGGATGTTCAACAAGTTATTATTCAAAAAGTTTAAAAACTAAATAACTTTGTTCAGTTTTAAAGTAATTTCTCATCTATAGCTACTATTATCATAATTTTTTCATTTAAAATGTTCCTTAACTTTTTACAGTAGAAGTTAAAACTGTCTGATATTTTACAATAAACTGAATTAATTTAAAATAACATGATCATATTAATGGACCCTTAAATGTTTCAGAGCTGCTCTGAACCATCAGTGTTTTCAATTTCAGAGCTGCAGATTTATTCTGATGTTAATCATCATTGTTTATTTCTTCAATTTTCATCTTCATAAAAAAAGTATTCTAATCTAAATTCTGGACAATAACTATGTTATCTCCTCCAACTCAGCTGATTATTGGTTGTCCTCTAGTGATCGTCTTTCTGAGACCTCTCTCAGAGGAACAGTTGATGAAATCTTAATAAAATCTAGAAAATAAAAGTGAAGAGAACATCCTCAGCCTCCAATAATGTCGCTCTAGGAACCATTCTGTGTTTAATGTGATTTCCCAGTGAGGTCACAGGGTGTCCCTTTTGTGTTGGTAGATCAGCTTATAAGGTATAAGCTTCTAATCAAAGTGATCAAACTGAATGGAATGGCATCTTTTCAAGGTTTTCACAGTTCTAATCCCAACAATCTGATGAAATGTTCATGTTCTCTGATTGTTTTATAGAAGATATTAATGGTATTATCCTGGTGAGCCCCGTCCATCCTGTGACTGAGGGAGATCCTGTTACTCTGAGCTGCAGAGATAAAGAACAAAAACTTCTCTCCAATGTGTTTTTCTATCAAAATAACAAACTGATCCAAAATGACAGCAGAGAGGAGCTGAACATCTCTGCAGTGTCAAAGTCAGATGAAGGTTTCTACAAGTGTGAACATTTAGGAAAGGAGTCACCACAGAGCTGGATGGCTGTTAGAGGTGAGAGGATGAAAACATTTGATAGATTTTATTCAGGAAAACCATTAAACTTTAATCTATGAATATGACGAACTCTAATAGTGTTAATGTGAATGTGCTGTGGGTTTCTGTCCACGTTTGCATCACATAACATCTGCAGAGTAATAACATGGCTATCTGATGTATTTATTTTCTACAGTTCCTCTCACCAGTCCTGTCAGCTCTTCACTTCTTGTGCTGCTGATCGTTGGACCAGTTATTGGAGTCATTCTCATTATTCTCCTGATCTTTTTGTGTTGCTTCAGATGTTCTAAGGGTGAGACCTTTTCATGAACACTGAATTATTTATTTAACTTATAGCTGCTTTAACTATTGCAACACAGACATTGATTTTTTTTTTTCTGTGGAAAAAAAACTGCCAGAATAAATAATGAATAATAAAATATTTCACAGATCTGTGCTGCATCATGTGAGTTCACCATATTTTGATATTCTTTCTCACCATCATATTTTCATTTCATTGACTTTTCCTTAATAACCTGTTTGTATCAATTATTAGATCAAGGGTCTCAGAGAGCAGGAGTCAGAGCCACACAAACCAGACTGAAGGTCAGAACCACAGCTTCTCACTTTTCTCAACATCAGTTTTCTTAACATAGACTGATGTTTGCCTTGGGGACTTCCTGCTTGTGATCAAGGCTCCAGCTGTAGGGGTTGTGCAAATGTTCAAGGATACAGCAACATCAAAAAACTTAAAACAAAAAACACAAGCTAGGTGAAAAACACACAATTACAAATAACTATTTTGCATAAAGAATCTATTTACACCCTTCCTTCAATGCAGTGAAGAAGGTGTTGGGGTAAAATCCAAACTTGTGACCTCTCAAAGACTCAACAGGCAATTTATTCCTCAATCTCCCAGGTTGTCCGGCCAGAACATGGATAACAGGCGCTAATTGCACTCATGAAGCTCTTTATTGAAGTTGTGTTGATTAGGATCAGAATTGTTCTTTGAGCTTTTGAGTATGGTTTATGCCTTTTAACCAAGTTTAATAAGTTATTATAGGATGGCGATGCGTTCAAAGTGTTTAGAAACCAAAGCATCAAAATCTTATGAACAAATACAGTTCTAAAGAGGCTTTGTAATTACTGCATTTTTATTACCAGCATGATTCTGATGAAATGCTCATTATAAAGTGATTTGATGGTAGATTTTTGTCATTTTTGTCTGTATGCTCTGATCCAAAACCATGAAGGAGTTCAGCCCAGTTTCCAATAGTAACAATGAATATTACTCTATTTTTACCAAAGAGAAACATATTTGGCTGAACTGTTTAGTCTGATTTAAGGAGGGTAAAATAAGATGTACACATCCAGTTATATATATATATACAGTATACATATTTTTTCTCTTGCACATTTTTGAATCATTATTTTTTAGCTTTGTTGTTAGTCTGCTTGTGCTGTTTAGATTACTATGTTAATGCCAAAGATCTATATATAATTTTTTTCAAGGTTTAAGTAAATTGTTGAAAATTTGTTAAACTTCTGTAAATTTGTGATATTTTTTGGTCTTTTATTCACTATAGGTGATGCTCATCTCTATCACATAATCAACTTTGCTGAAGCTGCTGGAAATGGTAAAGTTTATCTTTTAAAGCTTAAAATCATGTAATTTACATTCAAGTAACTCACAAAAAATGTTGCATTATTTCAGCAGGAGATGAACTCAGAGATCATACATACTCTCTCATTGAAATAAAATCCTCTAAGAAAGAGAGTGAGTCCCACATTTCTACAATGTAAAACATGAGAAACTGATTGAGTGGTTTTATCCCTCATATTGGATGATCTTTACAGGTAGACATCATAGACCACCAGAGGAGGGCGCTGTTTACTCTGAAGGGAAAACAGGATCTGCAGGTACAGTCAATTTCATGTCTTCATTACACTAAAGCTAATTACATCTCAGCATAGAGTTCAGTTCATCATCTGTCTTAGTTAATATCTACAAGTCAACTAAGAAGACATCAGTGTCCTTTAAAGAAGGTTCACCAAATTTTATTTTTCAATGCATCCAAACCCACTACATGTGCATATAGAGGGAAGTAATAATATGTATTTTAGAGGGTCTGCTATTGCCCTGTTTTTTTGTTTTTCTTTTGCTTTATGCCCCCATGAAAACATACCATTCTCACCCTAGGCCCACTGGTAAAAAAGGTCTTGAACCGCCACTTTTCTGCATTTAATGTTGCAGTATTTAAAATCGTCTGCTTTGAGTGTATTGATTTGACATTTTCTATAAAGAAATATCTTCTCACTGACAGGAAAGTCAAGTCCAGCAGCAGAGGGGGGAGCAATTTATTCTGAGATTGCTGATATGTAGGCTGGAGGCTCTGGTGGATTTTTTTTCCTCTAATATGTTACATGTTAAATATAAAAATATTTTTTTCAATCTTTCAAATTTTTAAAAATTTCTCCTATGAAAAACAATTCTAAAAAAGACAATGTATTCCAGAATAAACTACAATGGTCTGGTATGTGGGAAAGCTTACATTTTCAATGGATATTATGTCAAATGTTATAAAGGCTCTACTTTTATTTTTTTCTTATCAATCTCATAAACTGAACTTCTGTTTATTACATTCTAAGAGTTTGGTAGATTTGGATTAAAAACTGAATAAATTGGACCAGTTGTGTTTTCTGATGCTACAGTTTAGTAGAAGGACTTATATAAATAAAAAATAATAAAAAAAATAAATTTATAAGAAATTAATGGTTAGTGGCATAATTATTCGATGTGGAAAACACAATATTTTGTGAATGACTTCAAAAGAGTTTACAGAAGAACAATGTTCCTTTCGATTCTTTTTAAAATCAGTCATGTTCTTTTTGTTTTCCATAGTATCCGTTGTGAGCTTTAGCTATCCTCTGGATTATTTATTTAACTGCTTGTTTTATATAATGAGACACTGTTTGGTCGCTTAAATTCTATGAATGATTCCTGCTGTGTAGAGTTATAGAGTGACAATGAAACCTTTCAATCTTAGATTTCCTTCTTTGCTATAAAACCTTCACCTTCCAATATGTTAATTACACTTGAGAAACACATCTGGATGGAAAGGTTTTGTGATTTTGTTCTTTAAAACATAAGGCATCATAAGCAGCTTTAAAGCAATGTAAAAAAAAAAAAAGAAAAAAAGTTGGATATATCCTGTTGGTACGATTTCAAATAAATAAATAACAATTATTTTAAATGAGTTTATTATTATTATTTTTTCAAAAACAATCATCTTGCAACAACTTAATCCCATACAGAAGGAGAAAAAAACCAAGTCATATTTGGATGTATGAGCATTGAGGGTCATTGGCGTGTGATGCAGTTCCACAGCCTACCACTAGAGGTTTGTATTGCAATTATAAAGTGAAGCTGCTTTTAATAAAGGATTCCTATTTATATTCCTGATGAGCAATGCTTACCAAATGTGATGCCTTATCTTTGAGCTCTGCCCAATAGAGGCTTAGTGTAAAGAAAAACATGCTGATTGCACATATAAGCTTAAAGTTGAAGGAAATCTTAAAAAATGTGGAATGTGTGGAAAAACATCCACAAACATCAGGGTTCTACATTGTCACTTTTGTGGAAATCGGAAAAAACACATTTCTGTTTGGTTGTTTTACTCTTTGACAGTCAAGATTAATCTTAAAATAAATAATTAAGAAATAAGAAATTAAAACGTCAACAGATCTATTAGAAAAATAGAGAAACAGATCAGGAGCTTCTAGATTTACTGCAGCATAAATAAACAAGTTAGAATGATTTTAAGGGAGCAGCATCTCTTCCATTTAATTACAAAAAAAATATACAGAAAAGACAGTGAAGGTCTATTGATTAGGGAATTTTATAGTTACAAACTTGAACCTTATTAACTTATGGTCAGGTTTTCATAAAAATGGTAACCATGGATAGACTTTTTTTGTCAGGCAAGAAGGCAATGATACATAAAAACGTGAAAATATTCTAGGTTGAAATGTTAATGTTAGACAAACTACTTTAAGCAGATTAGGGTGATTGTGACTTTAACCTTCTTTACCTGGACTGGTAAAAACCTATGATGCAATAACAATATGATAATGGGTGTTTGTAATAATGATTATAAATTAAAAGTGACAGCTGCTACATTAGATTGATTTAATTAGGAGTGTAGGACTGATTTTATTTCAATCTTCTGGTCCCAATCTTCAGGAGCTGTAGTATTTACAAAAACAGAAAAAAAGGAGGTATGCAAAACATAAGAAGTCCTACAGTGCTTCTCTCAGAACTGGTTAACAAAGTGCCGTTTTAGATTTTCTCCTAATGAAAAACAATTTTAATCAAGTTTATTTTAGAACAATGCTTTCAAAGACATAAAAAACAAGCCACTGTAATCAAACTTTTTTGTCTTTTCAATAATGAAATACCCTATTTTGAATATCAGCTAAGTGAAGCAGTTTGATAACAAGCTAACTTTTCTATTAGGCTGAGAGAGCAGCATTTTCTGCAGAAAACAAGAAGGCTGAACATTCTGCAGCAAAGTTGCTCTTATTTTAAAATGTCAACCTCTCTCTTTTCTTAATTTAGAAATGCTGACACGTCTTTTGACATCTCAGAGTAAATTAAAGCCTCTAGGATCCATGAGAATCTCTGAGATAAACACAAGCAATCATTGAGGTTTCCAAAATTAGCTAATTTGTAGAAGTGCTAGCTTTCTAGCTAGCGTTCTAAAGGCAGTTTAAAATATACACCAAGGACTTACCTTGGTTTTAAAACCTTAAAAACATTTAAAACTTAAAGTGGATTTTTATATTAAAGTTTTTATATCATAGTTCTTAAAGTTGGATACACAATTCTGATTGTTTCATCTGTACTGAGGAGCATTATAAATTGTATATACAGTCGATTGTATGTTATTTTTATCTCTTTTGTAGATGTTTGCACTGAAAAATAAGAGTTTTCTGCAATTAATTCTGATTGTGATAAAGTTATCTACTGTATAATCAAAGGAAAAAGGTATGGAAAAGCACTATTTAAGCGTGGGGCTGATTACAGTGACTTGGTCTTTAGTGCAGAGACGTGCAAGTATTGCAATTAAACAAACCTGAAAAAGGTGGTGGCCATGAGTGTGAGCAGGGAGAGCCACAGGGGGACAAACACACACACATAGCTCAGCCTGTTGTTGCCGTCCAGCTTGTGCACCAGAAGGATCGACGCAAATAAAGATCAGAGTTAAAACGTTAAGAGAGGATTTGTACCCTGCTATCTTTATTCTGATCCATATAAGTGCAATCTATGTATTCATATGACAATAAAGCATGAATTAATGAGCTCTTGTTGGATGTTGTTGATCTGTTCAGTATTGCCAGAGATTTAAATGGTAATATTTGTTTTGATTTAAAGGGTGGTTGCAGCTCAAAACCAGCCATATTCTAAAGTTTCCTGTTATTCATTGGATAGTTTGTTGGGATTTGGAGCAATCTCTGGTGCCAATTTCCAGTACTCACGAAGGGTTGAGATCTGCTGACAACAGGGGTTGTAGGTAGATGGGGTCCAGAAACCTTTAACCACCTTT